CTCTTTGGTCCCCCGCTTCTTCTCTGCCTCTTCCTTTCTCACCCAACTCGCTCTCTCAGTTCTACTGCTTCTGCTGTTTATGGGTTTTGGTGGATGGTGCAGAAGGAGGCTTCTTCAAGTCCATGCTTCAGCTCCGGCTTTCGTTTTCTTCAACATTCTCTTTATTTGGGGCTTTTACGTCTCTGTTATCAGACAAGGTCAGCTTGATTTAATTCAGTAATTAATTGAAGATTTTGGGTGTTGAACAAACTTGATTGAACAATAATCTATGTGCCCGCCGCAGCTGTGCCACTACTAAACGACGCCGTTTTCAGCTGTGAGGTTGTGTTCCTCGTCATTGGTCTCTATAGGTTGTTATAATATAAGCTACACTTCGCAAATTTGGTCTCCAACTCAATTTGAACTGACAAATTCTAACAGTGACAAGTGGGTTGCTATTGGCAGTATACTTACAAGTGACCCTGGCATTGTAACAAATGGGTCTGCCTCTTCAGACCAACCTTTGAATAGTTCAGTTTCTCAAGTTGACAATCATGATGAGGTTGGAAAATTTCAACTGGGGTTCCATTTTTAAATTTATTTACGGAAACATAGTTTTGAGGAAAAATTTTCTCTTTTCGCGGAACTATTTTATGCCGAAACAAATGGGAGACTCAGCTAATAATCTTATTACTGGTGCAGGAGTTGGAGCTTCCATGTCATGAATCAACTGAAGTAATAGTTTTCATTCTCGCCATTTCTTGAGCATTACAAAATGGGAAATGTTTTATTACCAGACAGTGTAACATCTTAGGTTGTCATATGTAATATGTCATACTTGAACCCATGATGATAAGTTGTTTGTTATTTGAATCTGTGGTAAAGATTGACAGTCAACAATATAGCCCTGTTGATTGTATTGTAATAGAACAGTTTCCTTTAAAGAATACAACTGCTGTGGTATCATACGTATTGTAATCTGGATGCTGGTCATGTACTTTGTCTTTCTCAGGGTTCTGGTTTGGGGACGAGGGTACGATATTGCAGAAGCTGCAAGGCATACATAAAGGGGCTCGACCACCATTGTCCTGCTTTTGGGAACTGTATAGGTAAGGGACATTCTTTGTCTACTAGTATTCTCCATGTAAGTTGTATTTAAAGTTCAAGCTAGCTAGTTAGAAAAACTTATATCCTATGTAATTTCCTTTTAAGTTGGCCCACAACTGATTTTTATGTTGGTTGTATTTACTCCCTAGTAATTAATGATATTATTGTTGCCATTGTTGTACAGGCCAAAACAATCATCTCCTTTTCCTAATTCTTCTGTTTGGGTTTATCTCTACCGAAGCTTCTTATTTAGTATGCGCAT